TCTCTATATGTAGGGACCTCTGTACCGTATATACCACCAGCCCCATGTCAGGGTGTACCTAGGATCTCTATATGTAGGGACCTCTGTACCGTATATACCACCAGCCCCAATGTCAGGGTGTGCCTAGGGTCTCTATATGTAGGGACCTCTGTACCGTATATACCACCAGCCCCATGTCAGGGTGTGCCTAGGATCTCTATATTTAGGGACCCCTGTACCGTATATACCACCAGCCCCAATGTCAGGGTGTACCTAGGGTCTCTATATTTAGGGACCCCTGTACCGTATATACCACCAGCCCCAATGTCAGAGTGTACCTAGGGTCTCTATATACCGTATAGATAATACCAGCCCCAATGTCAAGGTGTATGTGAACTGTTTAAGAAACGTTCTTGTGAAGTGTAGCCTAAAATTTCCCATCTGAAAAATAAAGTGTATTGATAACATTTTAGCGAACACAGAATGTGAAGTGAAGGGTGGCATTGATTGTCAAGTTACAGACTGTGTGTAGAAAGTGTTTGGTAATACCTGGTACAGGGGATTATAGAGAATAATAAAATATTCCCGCGTTTCGAAGTAATAGCGGGAATTATTTGTCTTGTCGGTACGTATTAGTCAGGGGTGGAATTACGGGTGGACTGAGTCAGATCTGGTCAGCCAATCAGTGTTGGCACGTGCAGTGCCGTGGGGGTGCGATGGTACGCGGGTAGGTACGCCACTTTTCCAGCGCGTCGGTCGCAGTAGCACGTATTATTATTATTATTTTTTTTTACTCTGAATATTTTTCAAACATAGGTTTCAAGAAGTTTTGAAGTTAAGATTAGTTTCAGATCAGATTTTTTTGCGGTTCCGTATGGCAATGTTAGAAGCAGTACAGTTAGTTTTATGTAGAATCCCAGAATTTTTGAAGCCTAAGCATTCAGGTCTGGTGCACCTCCTGTAGTCCTAGTAGGTTTTCAGGTTGGGTGGCTCGCTTGGTTTCTTTTCAGAGAACTGTGGAGTATATTGTGTTAAGGGTGTATGGTTGATTGTACATGTAATATGCTAATGTGCTACACTCATTAAACTCTGTCTACTGCACGCGACAGGCTAGTCAGGCAAACGTACAGATGTGTTTGTTGTTTTCTGACGTAGTATAGAGAAGACTATACCTGGTACAGGGGATTATAGGGAATCTTATACCTGGTACAGGGAATAATTGGGAACCTTATACCTGGTACAGGGAATTATAGGGAATATTATACCTGGTACAGGGAATTATAGGGAATATTATACCTGGTACAGGGGATTATAGGGAATCTTATACCTGGTACAGGGGATTATAGGGAATCTTATACCTGGTACAGGGAATAATTGGGAACCTTATACTTGGTACAAGGGATTATTAGATGTATTCAGATCCAAATACCGTTTGCCTCAACAAGTCAATTTCCTCGAGTTCAAGCGAAAATTTTCTGTTGTATATTTAGAACTGAGCGAGTCAGACAGGAAATCCCGCTAATACAGTCTACATATAACAATGTGCAATACGTATTGATATAGTATGTACATTATATAGATTCTTTATATAGGAAGCTTAAATGATTCAATGATTTTAAGAAACCACTAAAGTATTCAGTTTCACTCGTATTGCTTTGTCTCTCAAACAGTGTTAACACACTTACACGGCAGACAGCACAGCACTTACACACTTACATGGTAACATCAATTACACAGTAAACAACGCGTACAATGCATACAACACTTACACTTACAAAACTTACACGGTAAACAGCACTTACACGGTAAACATCAGTTACATGGTAAACATCAGTTAACAGTAAACAACACTTACACAGTAATCATCAGTTACACAACAAACATCGGTTACACAGTAAACAACACTTACACGGCACACAACACTTACACGGTAAACATCAGTTACACAGTAAACATCAGTTACACGGTAAACATCAGTTACACGGTAAACATCAGTTAAAACAGTAAGTACACATACATTGTACGTTTCACCGTGGACGTCCGTTACACCTCCACATTCCTAGAATCCACTTGCCCAATCCTAGTCTGTAAAGTGATTTAAAGATAAACATATAGAAGGTGCATCGTCATTGCTTGGTAAACCACAAGATTTAC